TGGTGAACACTCCTATAATAAAACCCTAAAGAATGGAACCTCAACTTTCAGCTGAGATGAGCTTGACACACATTCCAATGGCTCAGCCAGGAGATATCGCTGCTCTGCCCTCTACAGGTCATGAGGCTCTTGATAGGGAATTGACAAAACTTACATAATGATTTTCTGATTTAGGTTATCTATCTGTTTTAGGTTTTACTGTAGCACCTGTCCCTGAAGTATATAAATAGTTACATTGCCAAGTGTCACACTTGTTTTGATTTCTAATGACTGTTGTAAGACATTTGTTTGCAGTGTAGTTGTAGCCAGGTTGGTCCGAGGCTATGAGAAAGACAGGGTGCATGTGGTAACATCTTTTACTGGACCAACTTCTGTTGGTGAGAGAGATAAGCTTTTAAGCCACTGGGAACTCTTCTTCAGGTCTGAAGAAGGACATCAGGATGTCTGTGCCAAATACAAGTTGGGACAGATTGTTCAGCATAAGGGGTAACAGTTGTTGTAGGAAGCCACTTGAAATGGAGCAAACTGCAAGGGTTAGATTGTTATGCAAAAGGGTTTGAAGTGGGCCATTAAGGATTGTTACAAATTGTTGTAATAAACTCTGAAACCAGTGTCCCTGTTGAGTCCTTGGTTTTTTAGTGTCTGGCAGTGTTATGCATTTCTGAGCTCATGCTCACCTTTTGAAAGTGTTGTGCAGATTTCCTTTGAGGATGAGTATTGAACAATCAGATATGGAGTGATCGCTTTTTGAAAAGTCTTCACTCACTGATGACATGGTGTTCGTGTTTTTTTTATCATTTTTCAGTGTGAGTTCATTCAAAAGCACAGTGATTGTCTGGTTTCACCTACATAGTTTAATATTGGGGCATTTGATGCACTGGATAAGGTACACCACATTTTGTGACAGGCATGCATGGGACCCATGAATCCTGAAAGGTGTGTTGTGGGGTAGGGGGTATTGATCATGGTACCAGTGGAGATATGTCTACAGGTTTTACCTCCATTGTTCTGAGGGTTTGGTGCTGTTTTGAGTTGGTGTGTCCTAGTCTATGGAGAGTTTGCTTCTGATAATGAGGTTGGTGAGGTCAGGGGGTTCTTTGAAGACCAAATCGGGGGGTGGGGTTGGGAAATATTTTTTCCGGCTGTGGTCCCCATTAAATATGGGTTGTAATTTTTTGATGATACCCTGAATGAGTTCTAGTGTGGGGTGGTAAGTGACAACTAGGGGTGTGTGGTCAGTGTTTTTTTTTTCTGTATTGAAGCAGTTTCTCCCAGGTATTTGGGGGTGGCCCTTTCCGTGATGCCATCAACTTCTTTGGTGGAGTGTCCTTGTATAGTGAAAATGGTTTTAAATGAGTTAAGCTTGTACCGTCCACCAACAGAAGTTGGTCCAATAAAAGATATTAGTGCATCCATCTTGTCTCTCTGTTGTAGGACTTGCAAAGAGTGATTCCAACTGGGGTACAGATGATTAGAGGGAATCTTCTCTTTTGGCTCACCTGGCCTTTAGAACAGAAAGGTCTTTGGGTCGCGCATCAGCTGTAGAAGGGTAGCCACACAGCTGTACTCTGAGGCATGGGTATAAGTATAGAACATTACTGAACATTTTATTCTGTCCAGCCATGATAATAAAATGAATGCAATCTTGCCAATTCTTTTTTTTTTTAATACTAATTTTGTGCTTTTATTTTCCGGCTATTGTGGATCCTTGTTTCAGAGAATCTCTTGATATAATAAACATTTCCTGAAGACACACTTCCTTCCTATGTGCTGCAGTGGAGGAAAACACCATGTCCTAAGTGAACATACTAAGGGGTATGGATTATTTTAGAGAACACAGTGTCACTTCAAAACAAGCCTTCACCATAAAGTGTGAACTACCTGCTCTTTACAAATGTACAAAGAACAGCATTCACAGTTACATTGTGTGTCTAATAATGGGAGTGGCCTACATAAAAATCCTGCCTCCAAACTCCCTGAACTTGCAAAAGTTTTTCACCTGGATCTAGATTGATTGAACTGAGCTCAGTGGCTAACCCCAGATTCAGTAAAGGGCCAAACCAAAATTTCAGCTCTGAACATTCCCCATCTTTGCAGAAGCCTATTTCAAGTACAGAAAAGGGTATAATTATATCATGTTCCTCACCTTTGAGTTGTGAGGGATGAAGCCAAAGGAACATGCACTAGGGATAAGAAGCTGAGGGAGGAGGGAAAGCTCAATGGTTTGAGCATTGCCCTGCTAAACCCAGGGTTGTGAGTTCAATCCTTGAGGGAGCCATTTAGGGATCTGGGGCAAAAATCTGTCTGGGGATTGGTCCTGATTTGAGCAGGGGGTTGGACTAGATGACCTCCTGAGGTCTGTTCCAACCTTGATATTCTATGAGAATATGAATTGGCATGCTAAATCAAGCCACCGGTACATCTTCCCGGCTTCCTGCCGACATCAATAGCAATTGCCAGATGTTTCAGAGAAGGGTTGGGGGGAATCCTTTCTGAGCAGCTAGGGCAGTCATCTTAATTACAGCTGATAATTAGGGTTGGGAGGCCCAGTAAAGGTTTGCAGGTTTGATTCAGACAAGCACCCAAAAGCCCAGCTGCTTATCGAAAGTTAGTCCTCCTTCACCACCTGAATCTGCAAAGCTGGGCTGAAAAGCTTGCAAGATTTCCAGACATTTCTCATGTCAGAGGCTAGCAATAACATGAGATCAACCTTTATCATAGGGGGAAATGGGCAGAGGAGGTGGCATTCATATCACTGAGACGGGGGTCATAAAGGGCAATGACGACTGTTGAATGGTAATTCGACTGCTGGGATGGCTCTGATGGAATCATATTTAAACTTCCTTACTCACACAGTAGGTCCTTAAAAGTAGAGCTGGCTGAACTTTGGTTCACAGCAAATTTTGGCATTTCAAAATTTAGTTTTGGTCTGATTTGGAATAAGACTGATTTTCTTTTAGATTTCCCACAAACCGGAAATTCCAAAAAGAAAATATATTTTGAAACACTGACGTGGTGCTTTCAAAAGGAGCTGGGACCCCAGTAGCTTCTGAATAAAAGTCACATTGTTGTCAGTTTCATCAGTGCTGTTAATGAGGCTACCCTAGAACCAGGGCTCTTGGAAGCCCAGGGTCCCTTGTCCCAGGACAGTTTGCATGGTGGAGCTGCCTGGAGCTTCAAACCTTGGGTTCCCTACCAGCCCACCAAGCCACCCGGCAGATAGCCCTCAGAACCCTGCCTGTGATTTGACAAAAATAGTTGAACCTGAGATGGTTTCATGACACATTTCAAGTTCAACAAATTGTCATTTTCTGATTAAACATTGCTTTGGCAGATAATTCCTTTCTAGCTCTAAACCCTTCTGTTGCTACTGAAAGGAGGTAATACAATCCAGTGGATAATGTAGTGGACTAAGAGATATGGGTTCTATTCCCAATTCTTACATTGGCTTGCTCTGTGCCCTTCGGAAAGTCGCTTTCCCCCTCAGTTTCCTGGTCAGTAAAATGGGAATAAAGCTACTTGCCTGATTTTGTAAAGCACTTTAAAATATGGATACAAAGTTCTGTACAACAGAAAAGTGCAGTTAAAATGAGCCTGCCTAACGGGGAAGGTCAACAAAGCCCTAGCTAGATAGGATCAAATGCATCTTTACATGGAACAGAAACTGCAAAGACATGCAAAGGAACAGAAACTAAATTCCTAGGAAGATCTGTAAGAAACAAAAATACACCAACCACATAAATTATTTAATGAATCTCTCATGTCCATTAATGGGTACTTAAGCAGTGCCCTGGGAGGAGCCCCTACTGGATCACATTTGTATCGGTATAACTAGACATCATGCTTCAGTATGATCAAAAACTATTTGTGGCATTTCTGCCAATTGGTGGGCATACACTGCAGTGCCCGAGCCTGGGGCTGGAGTTCCAACCCATTGCAGCCATTACTGATACCAGGGCCCAAATAATGCACAGAGGAACTCCGATCATGCACTAAAGCCTTCAGCTGGCTGAGCTGTAGTGGCTGTGATGGGCTTTTCTCAGCTGTAAATCACTGAGGATGCTGTTTACGTCACCTGGGGAAATTAAAACACGAGGCCAGAGTCTGCATCAGTTAGCAGAGTGCTATTCATGTGACTATCAGGCTGTCAAGTCAATATAGGGCCTGTACATTGCTCTTGGGCACCCCCTGTGGGTTCTGAAACAACAGTTAACTGGTGACTCTTGCAGAACAATTTTGAAAATGGGATTTTAGCAAATGAAAAGGGAATAATACACAACAGTGCTAAGCAAAAATGAAGAGCAGGAACCGTACCCTTTTGAATCCAGTTTAGGTGACCGTAAGCTGAGATTTGGTTTTGCCTCAACACCAGGTGAAACGTGATGGCTCTGACTGAGTTTAGCACTGAGTTTGGGGGTTTGTTTGAATTTGAAACACAAAGTGGAACTTGGAAGCAGGGGCTTGAACTCATCTGGATCAACAACATTGGAGAAAATGTTCCAATACACTTGGGCAAAGGTAACCCAGGCTAACAGGTGGCTCTGTGTCCTGCTCCAGCAGGCCGAACACATGGTGGTTTAAAAGACTGCTGCTCTCAAGCTAATAGAGTTGATCCTTTAACTAGGATGGTAGGGGGCATGCTTTTTAGATCCATAGGTTCTGGGTTCAGGCCCCACAGGCAACTAGCGCAAGGGTGTCATTACACAAAGCAAAACGGCTGAGTTTCATCCAGCTCTTCCCTCTTCAGGGACAGTCACAACAACCTGGCTCTGGAGAGCAGCTATAATAAAGGACTGACTCTATGCTTCGATCGGAGTTCTCACACTTTCCTATAAGGCCTAGGAATGGTCTCCCCAAATCTCTACATTTGTTCTGGCAGCAGCCCATATTTTACTTCCTTATGTTCATCTGTCTGAGGCTGCTGCTGTCCACTCAGTTGAAGCTGGTGCCACCACTTCCTCCTGATGGCGAATGCTTGAAGCACAACTAAAATCACACTGTCACAGTTAAAGACACACACGTATTTATTTCACTATTACACACGAGACGACACAGGCAAAAGCAGCTTAAAACACAGGTGGGGGGGCTTAGGTTAAGTCAGGCCATTTTAAATGTTGCATCAGTTTGATGGGCTGAGCAACTCTGTAGCTAAGGGATTTCTCCCGCTGTGGGTGGGAGGGCAAGCTGAACTATACACAGTACTGCAGCACCTCCATGCAGCCAGGATGACAGCAGCACATCTGCCCTGCATGTGTCAGAAGGCGGGTCTCTTGTGAATGAGGAGGAGAGTTAATGTGAGTAATTTTCAGTGGGCTAAATATATAGAGAGTTCACTCCCAGAATAGAAGGAGAGTTGAAATGAAGCAAAAATGAAGTGTGTGTGTGGGGGGGAGGGGGAAGAATAACATTAATGTCAGCAACAAAGGAATCAAAGCAACATTCTAGGGGACTCACAGAGCACAGCTCAATACCAGTGGAAGAGGGGGACTTTAAGACCAGCCTTTTTGAAAGTCTTTGACATGCCAGTGGGTCTTGATTGCAGTGGTCTATGACACTGGCACCTCTGGTTTAAAAAGTAAGGGTTTCAAATCTTCTTGCATTTTCTTTAGGGATCATGAATGGGGCTGGACAAACACTGGGGATTCTTTTCTGAGAAAAAAATTCAAACCAACAAAAACTGTTCACCTCCTTTAAAAACAATTCCACAATTTTCCAATTTTTTGATGAAATGGTTCAAAGTGTGTGTGTGGGGGGAGGGAATCATTTTGATTCCAATCAGACAGGATTAAAACATTTTTTAAAAAAAAAGTTGTTTTCACCTTTCTTTCTAATGACATCTGGGGGGAGGAAGAAAAAAAATGAAGAGAAAGGGGGAAAATATCTCACAAGCTAAAATTTCCATTCCAATTTCTGTTCAAAATGATGTTCTTTGGTTTTGTCAGAAAAAATGGAAAATGTCAAATAATCTCATTTTTTTCATGAATATTCCTATAGTCTCCAAGAAATAATTTTTCATTTGGGGCGGGGGAAACTTTTTGAGGAAAATGTTTTGACCAGTCTTAATAAAATTGTCTCATTTCCTTTGAAGAGCTTCTTTCATAAGAGGGCTTCACTTCAGAGGGTCAAGGCACTTTTCACAAGAGAGGCTGAAGAAAAAGGGAGAAAGAAAAAAGAGATGAGAAAACATGAAAGATAGAGAAAGCTATGAGGGAGAGCAAACCTGAGGTGGCAGCATATGTAACAGTTCAATGTGCTGTTGAAAATCCCCAGGGGTAGTCACAAAAATCCATCAGTGTCCTGAATGGTCACTTGAGGTTTGTATAGCACTATGTATACCATCAGTTAGAGAGGGTGCCAGCTGGCTAGACAACTAACATTGCAGAGTGCAGAGCCCAACACTGCAAATATATACAAAGCAAACACAGAGCCACACACTTAATTTGTCTGAGGCCTGCATGAAGGCTTGTGCATATATGGGTTGAAATCAGGGGGAGAAAAGGGGTGAGAGATGACTGCCTGGCTGTTGTCATTAGCTTTTATATGTTAATGGAGGCATGAGTGCTATTTAAGTTCTGTTTCAACCGCCTTAGCAGGCTGGTGGTTTCTCCCAATAAAAAGCAGACACTAGCCAAATCCTTCCAGAAATATTCCCCATCTTCTTTTAGGAGTTTCTTTTCATGAAAGAGGATTAACTGGTCCTAAAGGGGAAATCGGATAAGAGGATATGGTTATTTTTTCTCCTGGAGACAACCAGCGTTTGTAAAACTCAGAGGATATGTAGCCACCATGAAAGACCTACATTTATGTAGTGCTTTTCATCAAGAAGGATCTTAAAGTTCTTTACAAAGTGACCTAAGAGAAAATACTTTGCTAACTCAAACTAGATGCTACTACCCAGCATGAGCTAGGAACTATTAGGAATTATGACATCTACTAACACACAGCAGCTGTTTTAACAGCAACACTGCATAACAATTAAGACAGGAAATGAAGAAGACTGTATCTATTTGACTCTACAGGTGAAATTTGGAGGGGAAGTGGTTAGAACTGGAAGTTGACTGGGAAAACTGATTAATGCAATGTCAGCAATATGGCAAATGAAGGGGGGGGAAGGATAGCTCAGTGGTTTGCGCATTGGCCTGCTAAACCCAGCATTGTGAGTTCAATCCTTGAGGGGGCCCCTTAGGGATCTGGGGCAAAATCAGTACTTGGTCCTGCTAGTGAAGGCAGGGGGCTGGACTCAATGACCTTTCAAGGTCCCTTCCAGTTCTAGGAGATAGGATATCATCATATATACCACACAACACAGGCATGCCAGAGCTGTCTAAGTTGCTTATACTATATAGCCACAGCATGATTTATTTGAGCAGTCCTGTGTAATTAATTGACTACATAATCAAGCAGCTCTACAGCATGAATATGCGCTGAGAGGCAGATTGCTGAGAAGAGCTTTGTACCCTTTTAGGCACCTAACCAAGGGTCAGGTTTTCCAAAGTGCTCAGCAGCAGAAGCTCCCATTGTGACCGTTATGGCCAGATTTTGAAATGAGATCAATACCCAATGTCCTGAGTCCTTTGGAAAAGTCTGGCCGTACCCTAGTGATGATCTATTGGGCTGATCTTGCTCCCTTTCAAATTAATAGCAAAATTCTCGCTCACTTCAGTTTGTCATGGGATCAGGTCTGCCCCTGTTCCCAATGAAGTTAGTGGCGAAACTCCAGTGGGAACAGGATCAGGTCCTTAACATAGTTTACATTCTTCATGTGTTCCACGTTTCTAACACCTCTGAGTATCAAGATTAACCTTCTACAATGCAGCCTCTAGTCTTCTGCCCCAACGGGCTGGTGTTAGTCCTTGGGTTTTGCTCACTCGCGTTTGCATCTTAAAAGTCCCAGCGACAGCAGAAAGAGCAGCTGCCAACACCCTGGGAATATCTGCTTTAGAATCTCAACTACTGTGCAAAGTTGCTGCTGCTCCAGCTTGAGCTTTGTGTTTTCAAAAGAAATCTGTCCAACAACAACACCACCCGAAAGGGGGAAAAGGGAGGAAAAAAGGCTTCATATAACAGAATTAACAGAGCTGCCGCAGCAGCACCATTCAGCTAAGAGGGAACTCCTCCCCCCGCCCTTTAACAGCAGTTTCATTTGTTTTCGTTTCCAAACTTATTTTACGGGCCACTCACGCTGCCTGCCTCCCTTTGTCTAATTTGGATCCCGAGCCTCCATGCAACTGACTCTTGGTGTAACTGTAAATCTTTTTATGGCCCTTCCGCCTGCGAACTGCAAAAGCGGTGCCACTGTAAGCTGTAAATCCACTCAGTGCATTGAAGGAGGCAAAAGGGTTTTAAGGGAAAGGGGGCGAGGGGGAAGCTTAGGGTAGCTGGACAAACACTGGGTTAAAAAAAGCATTTGCTAAATGGAACTAAAATAACAGGAGTCGAAGGGAAAATATTAACGCCGGGAAAAAATCAAACGCGAACTAATATATTTATAGGTTTTCTTTTTTTAATATATTTATGAATGTTCAAGAACTGATGGAAGCATGCTGGGTACCCGCAACTCCTATTCACATCGATAGGAGATGAAAGTGCTAAGCAGCTCTGGGAATTGCTCAGCATCTGGCAGGATCAAGCCCTAGGCAGTATTGCCTAGTGGACCAGACTCAGAAGACATGGTTTTAGTCCGAGCTCTGCCTCTGGTATGCTGGGTGACCATGGGCAAGGTACATCACGCCTCTGTGCCTCAGTCTCACCCTCTGTAAAATGGGGTTATCTCTTTTATAAAGCTCTTTGAGGTCTACCAATGAAAGTAGTTATTATTATTAAATGCCAATAATAAAGGCTCTGAGCCTATCCCCATTGAAGTAAATCGGAGCATTCCCATTCGTTTCAGTGGAAAGCAGAATTAGGCCGTGATGTATATTCTCTCTTTGTCTATCTAATCTATTGCTCTTAGCATCATAGTATTAAGGCTCCAAGGGCCTGCTCCAGAGACCACTGAAAACAACAAGAATCTTTCCATTGGCATCAATGAACTGTGGATTTGGCCCAAAGTCACAGACAAGCTGAGGGGTATTTCAAAAAGAATTTAAGTGGGTGTGAGATGGAATTGAGGAGTTTGGAGACAGGAGAATGTAGAACAGTAGCTATTTAAAGACCAGGTTTGCTACTGAGTGTTCCCCTTTAATAGGGTTATATAAACATGCTCCGTCTCCATGTATGTGGAAAAACAGGCAGTGAGGTGAGACTATATCCCTTTATTTCTTATGGGAAATATTGCACATAGCTAAACCACCTCTTTCCTTCTCCTCACCCACCACCCACGGTCCCTGGAAGCTCTTAGCAGCAATGTACAGTGTTAGAGCCACGTCGGTAGTGGTGCTAAAGTTAAAGAGTTCACAGCATTTCCATTAGAACAAAGCTCCTGTTTTCATTGCATTCCAACTTGGCCATGAAGGTTTGATCTGAAATTTGGCACTCAACATGTCAGAACGGGAGGGGCGGTTTTCTCTGGTTTGTTTGCTTCACTTCCTTGCAAATGAAAAATAAAAGGCTCTTGGTTGCCTTTGTGAAATGAACGGATGGGACTCAGCCCAGCTTCCCCGGGGGCAGGTGTGGCCCCTTCAGAACCCCCTTCCCTCCAGCCTCCGCCAATCCCTGGCATTAATTGGCCTCTCTGTTGCCAATCTCAGCAGAAAGGTCGGGGGTGAAAAGGTCTGCAGAGTGAACGCCTCTCTTGTTCTTGCAGTGGAGCAGTGCAGATCACTGACTGCTGGTTCAGGTCATGAGATGTTGGCATTCTGCAATAAAAGAAGCCCATTAAAATGTGCAGATATTTAACGACGAGAAGTGTCGTCTGCACCTGGACAGTAAGTAGTTTTCAAAGAAAATCCATCTGGGATTTTATATCTTGTTCTCTCTCTCCACTCGCTGCACAAGAACATACAGGAGCTGGATTGTCACATACCAGAATGGTTCCAAAAAGCTGTTTACATGCCACCAGGTCAATAATCTACACAGCTTTATACCACATTATCTCAATCAGCAGTAAAAAGTTTGAATATGCATTTTTAAAACTGTGCACCAGATTCTCTGCTAGTGCAATTTGGCATACCGCCACTGAATTCAACAGAGGGTTTACACCAGCTGAAGATTTAGCCCACAGTATTAGGCTCGTTTTGGAACTACAGATGAAACCAGGATTTGGAGTTATGCTGATTTTGAAGTCAATGGAGCTATGGCCAGTTTTTACATTAGCTGAGGATTTGAGACGATCCTGTATATATTTGCAGGATGGACTGTCATGTGATTGTGGGAGACATTACTGTCTACCAGGTAAATAATATGCAGAACAAAGGAATTGGGTAGCATGCCTTTAAATAGATTGAGAGCCCTACAACATTTATTAAGATGAAAAATATGTGGGGTCAGATGATTTTACTTACATTAATATGGCAGTTATAACTCCCCATTGTTGCCAATCCTTGCAAATTTATCTCAAGTCTCATGATATCTGTGTTTTTATCAAAGCCTTAGCTCCTGGATTCAGGTGATTACATGAGAATCTCAGCTTTCATATTTTTTTATTTTTTTTTAAAGCATCTTTCTAGCCCTTGTGTCTGCAGAGAAAAATTTGAAAATGTGAATGCAAAAGGCTAAAAAATTATTATTTTAAAACATTTATTATTTTTTAAATCTTTTGAGTTTTAAGCTATTTCATCGGTATGGGGGGAGAGGGGGTGAGGCTGACGGTACTGTATATCTGATATCAATGGAGTGATACTAAAATGAAGCCAATGTAAGTAGAAGCAGAATTAGGCCATGATTTATATTCTCTTTAAATATCTGCCCATGCTACTAACCCAACCTACCATCATAGTTAACATGGAAATAATTTTAAAATCTCGTTTACTTTCCACTATTGATTCTCATTGCTCACGTTTGAATTTCTCTCACATTGGACTAAGAAACTAGGCTGGATACCATCAACGTTTATGCTCAGTGCAATTTTGTCAACTTCTTGTGGTTTTATCACAAGTCTTGTGATATTTGATGTTATTTTTAAAGCCCCACCTTCAGGAGTCATGTGAATGCATGAGGAACTCAGCTTTCGATTTTTAAATGGTTTGGGTGAAAAGCTTGAAAGTGTCACCCAAGTACAGCCTAAAGTTACAAAAAGCAGAAGGTAAAATAAAAAGCGTGCAAAGTATTTTCTTTTTAAAAAATCTCATGCTTTTTAAGGCAAATCTCATATTTGGGGAAGAGGGCTGACTCAGGATTCTTAAATACATGGGGTTGACAACCTCTTAGTATCACTTTTTAGTACCCATCCACTAGCACAATGTGTTGTGTTTGGGTTTTCATCCCAGCAAAGGAATATTAAAATCCCAATCAACCCCTGTACTTCAGACCTAAATAATTCAACTGCATCCCTTTTAAAGTGCATGAACAATAGCCACCAATGTTTCATGTGGGCTGATAGAGCTTCCAGGACAGATTTTATTTCCATAACTAATATTTAAAAAGAAAAAAGAAAAAGATAAGAAATTTCAATTAACAATAAAAGAAGCAAACAAATACATTAGAAACAAAACCAAACCTTCTTCATTCAAATAACTTGAAGGGTCTCACCTGAACTGATCAAACCCAGGAAATTCAGTGATGGCAGCTGGCACTCTGTCTCCTAACCACTATGCATCAGCATTGGGGCTCACTTTAAAAAGAAAATTGGTCCAGGGGTTAGGATGCTACCTTTCTTTTTGGAAGACCTAAGTTTAAGTCCCTACTCTGTCACAGGCTTTCAGTGTGACCTTGGGTATATCAGCTAGCCTCTCTGTGTTTCAATTCTCCAGCTATACATAAGAATATAAGAACAGCCATACTGGGTCAGAACAAAGGTCCATCCAGCCCAGTATCCTGTCTTCCAACAGTGGCCAATGCCAGGTGCCCCAGAGGATATAACGGGGATAAAAGCCTTGCCCTGCCTCACAGGTGTGTTGTGAGGATAAATATATTAAAGACTGTAAATTGACCTGTTAAAATGGAATGGGGCCCACATACATACATTAAATAGATGTACAATGGCAGATAAGATATCCAGCAGCTCTGAGTTCTCTGCCATGCTGGCGTATAATGAAATGAGGAGAGGTGGTTTAAATATTTCAACATCTGAAATTTTCTAATGAAAAGAGGGTGTTTTTTCCCCCCACAGGAATTTTCACCAATCAGCTGAGCCTTTTTTTCCACCAGCTTTTTGTGCCTTAACTCTGAGCTGTCTTTGGTGGGTTTTATTTGTTTGTTTGTTTGCTCATTTATTTCTTTATCATTTAGTTTCTGTCTGATTTCTAGCATCACAGCAATTTATTTCGAGGTCACATTTTATTTAGTGTGACTATTTCCGTTTTCAATCCTCCTCCTCTACCTCCTGCATACACGTGTGCACACACAAAGCATACACTCAAACAACCATGTAAATACACACACAACCTAGCCACGCCATAAAAAATGTAGATTTCAGCTTCATCTCAGCTTGAAAAAAACTGCTGCTGACAAGCTCTTTCACCTCTGAACTATACCTTTGACTTGTCTTCTCGGGGAGATGGAGAAAGTCAATCAGGTGCAGAATGCCAAGATAACCACTGGGGTGACAGACAAGCCATTTCTAAGCAACCATTAAAAAGTGCACATGGAATTTAATGTTTAATATCAATCTGCAAGAAATGGGAAAACCCAACAGTGAAATGATATTGTGTTTGTGGCCATGTGCCTTTTTCGGGAACTCTCATGCAGAGACAGGGTGCAGAGGGTGTATTCCTAGGGTTTTTTAATTGTTGGTACAGTTTCTGAAATGCAGCTGCTAGGTCCATTTCTGGATGGGTGCAGCTCTGCAGAATATATGGGAGCAATCTGAAGGCATAAGGATCTGCAGCGAAACTTTTCCGAGATGTTATGAAACATATAACAAGTGCAGGGAAAACATTTATTTTCCACCCCCAATCTGCAGCAAATTCTTATTCCCTGAGATTATCTTCATATCCACATTTATAAAGTACAACAGGCATGTGCTGAGCTAACTAAACCAGCTTTAGTTTAGGTTAAATCCATAATATCACTGCCATCAGCTGCAGAAAAATAACATAAAACCTACTTCTATTGCCAGCAAGCCAATGTAGTATCAACAGTCAACACATGTCCTTCTCCTCTACTGCACATTCTCGCTTGCACTCTCCCCACAGTTTGTATTCAGTGATTCAGGCCCTAACAAGTGATTTGATTTAAGATAGTAACTCTGGCCAAGATCATCAGTCAAAAGAGACCATTGTGATCATGTAGTCTGACCTCCTGTATAATACAGGCCATAGAATTTTCCTCAAAATAATTACTAGAGCAGATCTTTTAGAAAAAAACATCCAGTCTTGATTTACAAGATGAAAAATTCCATCATGACCCTTGGTAAGTTGTTCCAATGATTAACTACACTCGCTGTTAAAAAGGTATGCCTTGTTTGCAGTCTGAATTTATTTAGCTTCAACTTCCCATCCATTGGATCATGCTATATCTGTCTCTGCTAGATTGAAGAACCCGTTATTAAATATTTGTTCCCCATGTAGATCCTTATAGACTGTGATCAAGTTAGGCTCCTAACTTCCACTGAAATCAGTGAAAGTTAGGAGTCTAAATACCGTCAAGACTCTAGGACTCTGCCTCTGAAAACAATTTTAAAAACACTACCAGGATCTTGGGTGTGTTGCTATTAGAATCGGCTGAAAATTTTTCATTAAAACTTTTTTTGACTAAACACAATTTTTGTAAAATAGTTTCCTTTACTGTAAAAAGTTTTCATGTTTTCGTCAACAACTCACAAAAACAAAACAAACAAACAAACAAAAACCAACAACCCCCCCCCCCACAATGTTTAGGTTTTGGCAAATGAAAACTGAAAAGTTTCCCATATTAAACCAATTGGTTCGGGGTTCTCAGTTTCTCAATGTATATCTGAAAAAAATCAAAAAATAATTTCATTTTTCATTAAAAAAATTTGAGACAAAAAATTCATTTCCCAGTAAGCTCTAGATTCTAGCCATTCACACCAAACGTTTGTTTCCCAACTGTGAATATTAATTCAATGGGAGTTAAGCTAGAGTGTGTATCAGTGAAATTACTGGACCGCATGGGCCTGGCACATTCCATGAGCCTCTTCAAATGAAATGACTATGAAATGAAAGCTCACTTTTACACTCCATATTGCTCAGGATTTTGTTTCCATATCAGCATGCTCTAATAAGTTTACATTGCTTCTTTTTTCAGCCAGCCAAGCGCACATGGGTAGTGGATGTAATATGGTTGTTCATAGGAAATCACTCTAGATTGATTCAGTACAGAATGGGAGTCATACAGCACAGACACATACATTATTCAGGGGATTTGCATGGGTTTATAAGATCTCACCTGATCAGATGAGACGCTTTTTGAAGTATCAGCTCGAAATGTGAACATAATAGAAATGGACAAAACATTTTCTTTCAAATGTTTTTTTTAAAATGGCTTTTATTCTAAATGAAAACTGTAGTAGAAAAAAATTCTTTTGAAATTTTCTGGTTTTTCAACCAAAAAACAAACTAAATTAATCAGTTTTAAAAAAACAACTGACCTTGAAAAAAGATTTTCACTGAAAAAAACAAAAGATTTCAGGTAAGTGTTTTTAAAAGAACAAAAAAGTTTCATTTTCTTTTGAATATTTTCATTTAAAACAAAAAAGAATATTTACCTATCAGTTCTAGTGCAGATGTATGTCTAGGGAAGGTCTAAGAACGTAGTGGAGATTTATTGATAATTTCCATATATATCCACATGAATTAAATACTTGTAGTAGTTAGATTTTATACTGCTACACTTGGGATCTTATTTCAGGCCACGTTTACTGTAGTCACAACAATCCTCACCCACTGAAAGTAGTTTTTAAAGAGGGGCAGTCACTGGCAGTTTAATCTGAATTAAAGGCACCATATACAGAGGTTAAAGTTAATTCGATTGTAATCTTTGGGGCCTGGGCTGTCTTTTTGTACAGTATCTGTGTTTGTACAGTGCCCAGCACAATGGGATTCTAGTCCATGTCCGGGGCTCATTGGTACTACTGCAATAATAATACTACTGATTAAAGCCAACAACGGCTGACTATAGGATACAGAGTCTCCTTTCCAAACAGTCCTGCCCTTAGATAAGAGGAAGCCTGCGTCTGTTGGAGGAGAAAGGTTGTATGTGGGTTAGGAGGAGGCTTGGTGTCCACGTTCTGTTGCAGGAAGGTTGAATATTGGCCTTGAGGGTTTGGGATAAACAAGGCGGGCAAAGATTTTCTTAAAATGGCTGCTGATTTGAGGTGCCTTAATATTTAGGAAACCCATAGTTTGACTCGCTCTATAAAAGAAAATGTTTAGAATGTATTTTCCAATTTCCATCTGAAAATTCATACCATATCACTCCTTTTTGCTCATGTTTCTACCAGAAGTACCCAATATTGGAAGAGTTCTTTTTCAGATTACCGTCATCTGCCCACATTGAAGTTTTGTCACTGATAGCAGGATTCAGCCTTTAATGTAATGTGCTGATGTAACATCAGTTCTGGAATGTGAATCTTCTTTTCTGGCTCTGATTGTCTAACTACTATAAGCAAAATAGCATTTAGTTGGTGAATACAGCAACACTTGAGAAATAAACCTCTGATATGTAATATGCTTAGCAAAAAGCTACAGTTCTTATTGTTTTGGTGTATGAGTCTGAAGGGAAGAGGAGAAAAAAAATATTTATATTCTAGGCAGACTATAATTTAATTGTTCAATGAAACATTAACTCTCCCAACATGACGTCCATCCATGTAAACCTGAAGTAGGATTAAGAGACTGGGCAACCAGTCTTGTTGTGGGATCCTGTTCAGCTTGGCTACAGTGTTCTCAACCAAAGCCGTCCATTCAGTAAAGTGCACCTGCCATAAATCTCAAAGCATTACCAGCCTTCAATGAAAGCTCCTAACATTACAGTTAGGGGATGATGTATGGAGATGTCACCAACTCCCCCATCACACACTTACACCCCTTCCCCACAACACAGGCATTTTTATTGGCTTCAGTGACTCTGCCGTTAAGCATATACCAGCCATCAAGATAAGTGACAGCAGGCTAGTGGCAGCTTTAACCCTCATTTACCATTGATTGGTCAGTTGCTGATGTTTATGGAGCAATGGAAGAGGCGGAGGCGAGCTGACCATAATTAACTGGACAATTGAATAGGTTTTGCTCCTCTGATTTCAATTAACCTTTGCACTTTCCATTGATAACTTGTGATGGCTACCAACCAACTTCAGCGCAAACCAGATGTTGTGGCTAGTTAATCTAGACCCAAAATAGGTTCTGGAGAAGATTTGGTAATAGCATGTTTTCAGATGAATTAATGCTTAAGGAGAAATACAAATGAGCTTATTTAATGCCATGGTGCAGGGTCTGATTCTACTTCCATTGAGTGTGACTGTAAAACTCCTTCTTGGGAGGAGGAGATTTTAAGGCCTGAAGAAGCACATAAGGGGTTAAGGACACAGTCCTAGGAAGCATGCAGAACAATGCAGTGTGCATTCACAAATAAGTAATACATTGCTATTGGCTAATGTGTACAGAGATGCAATCACTGGGTGAACCACTCTGGCTAAATTAAGAACAGATTTGA